AACTTGTGTATATATTGTGTATAGTGAGATTTCAACCGTCTTTAGAAATAAGTTTGGTTTGATTTGGATCAAATGAAATTGAAGTTTAGTACCCTCGTGAAGAAAGTGCATTTTAGACTTTAATACTTTTCTATTACTGTAAAACAAAAATGCCACTAAATCAATAAAATAATGATTTCAGCCTTAAAGTTCAGCTAGTTGTAATGATGAAATTAAGTCATTGATCGATAATAACCGACACATGAATGAGCAGAGATATTAAAAATATCAAAAACAACTATCGACAAACGTTTTTTTTTAAGTTTTCTTTTATAAGATAAGATATATAAGTTTTGCACAATTTAACGGACAAAAATTACAACAACATCTGCCCTTATATTGCTTTCCATTAACTGCAAGAACTATTAATTTTTAGCCGACATAAAAAACCACCTAAAGACAAAAAACTTCATAAATTCTGGGAGGATGTACTGTTTAAGTTGCGTAAAAGAAGAAGGAAGGTTTATGGTTCAAAAATGGTGCATACTTAATTAAAAATGTATATATATATATACAAAAATGTTGATATTTAATTTTAGTGAAAAATTGGCACAAAATAAAACCTTTTATAACCGTATTATTTTATATAATTTGTTGTTATTCTTAAAGAACGTATTAAGGAAATGGTATTGTTTAAATAAAATATTTCGAATAAACCTATAAAATGGAGGCCTTAAATTTGCGCGGAAAAATTTAGAGGTCTGTTGGGGATTTTCGCTTTATACTGTCGGGGGTCGTTTGAATTATGAAAATTAATGTGCCAGACCTTCTTTGTCGCCGCCTTCGCAGCCGATGCCTCCACCGCCACCCTACACATTACTCCCCCTCAACCGTTATTATTATTACTACAAGGGAATTGAATTAGCCGACGATAGAATATTCCCCGCTCAAACGGAATTTGATATCAGACGAGGACCGCCCGTGCCGTTGTGATCAATGCCAATTGGGATTTACTTTGTAGCAGCTCTCATCGTCTAGCCTGCATCCTTATCTCATCCGAAGGCGTGCCTCTAATCTAAGTATTACATGTACACTTAATGCGATTATCCTCCTGACAATTACCCAAATTTTAATCTTTTCACATCCGAAATCCGAGAACCAAGCGTTCAACCGACCGACCACCCATCGTGAGATCTGCAAAGCGGGAAGCGTTTTTACATTAGCGTTCCATTAAGCCCGTCACGAACCGCAGCTTATTTGGCTTTCAGAATCATAGAAAAGCTTTATTGCTACTGAGCTTTTAAAATTGTCTGAGTGTATGCTTTACTTAATGAGATACTTTTATGAAACTAAATTATAGTTGAAGCACGTTTTATTTCGACTATTTCAACTGGAGCTATGAATTAAATATTTAACATTAACTACATTCATTAATTTTGTCAGAAATTTATTATATGTTCTCTAGGTTAAATAAAAAGTTTCTATAAAATTTTACAAATACAATATTAATATAATATTTGTATAGCAATAGTTGAAAACTAATATCTTTTTATTATATTTATTATTATTTTTCCAATTATTTGTAATAGAAAAATGACTTATCTAAATATGTATTGATAAATATTTATAAAACTAAGTATTTCATCGAAATTTGTCGATAAAGCATTTATTTATTGGTTTGACCAAGAGCTAAATGTCTTTATGTCCGGGAAGTTTGAATTTCTTAAAGATTATTATACAAAAGAAAAAGTTTACAAAAAAAAACAAATAAAAAGTCTGTAGCTTTTACACACAGGAAACTTCACTAAATTATGTATTTCTCCTAAAAAAAAACATGACGAGCGAAACAGAACAAGACAGACTTAAAAGGAATTTAGGTATTGGAAAAGGGTATAGAAAGGATGTTTGTATTTAGGATTTTAAGGAATTCAGAATTGTAATTTTAGGCTGGTAATGTTAGGTTTTTGCATATAAATTTAAGGGAGAGCTTACGCTCATAAATATTTCGTTTCAAATAAAGATTTATAATTTATGAACGGCTCCATGAATTTTTAATAAATGTTAGTATTATTTATGTATAAGTGAGGGTAATATGCAATAGGTGATTTTATTTTTTCGATAGATATATACAGTAGAACCTGTTTTTGTGTATAACTAATATGAACATTTGTTAGGTTTACCACTTTCCTATTAATTATTATAAAGCATATTTCACGAATCTATCAAATATACAAACGGATTATTTTGAATAACTTGTTTAATATTCCGAAGAACATTAAATCGTATAGTTGCGTCTATTTTATCACCTCACTTAACAGCCTCTTTCCGCTCTTAAATATTTTGGTAGGATCATAAAACTTAGATAAAAAAAACGGTTGCATTTTCCACAAGCTCAAAACTGATTTTCTTATTCCCACACAGCCCCTTTTTGAAATGAATACATTTTTGAATTATATAAGATAGTTTTAGTTGAAGGGTTCAACGTAGAAGATGTTCTTACTTGGAGAGTCCATGAAAGAGCACTTCTTATATAATAACTTAAGAGGAGAATGTAACTCTTAGTAATAATCCCTGAGATCAACTATTGTATAGTTGACTCCGATCTGTATAATAAAACTAATTAAGAATATTACATTTAATTTTCACGGTGTCCAGAGATTTCTTAATCCAGCTCAAACAATTCTGTACTATGTTTTAATGTTTTTAAAATATTTCCACGTGTATTTTAATTATTTATTTTGTTTGGATGCTCTTTCTTATGTATTTCGTAAATCTTTGGCGTATTTTCTAAGTGCGATTTTTTTATGCGGTGGAGAGCGCATACATTTGTTTCTCTAATGTATTGTACAAAGTTATTTGTTGTAAGAATTTATGAAATTTTCGAATATTTTTTGTACGGTTTCTTTTATACGGTCCTTAACTACCGCACAAAAACAGGATTTACTGTATTTATTTTACCCGCCGCATCCACCATGAATAGATTAAAATCCACGTGTAAATTTTTACGAGTAAATATAGTGTGAAATCTAAAAATTCGATCGTGTATAAAAATCGCGTAGATTGTGTAAATTACGCATAAAAAAGTGCTACATAAATTCAGAGACCACTGAATACTTTCTGTATACAATTCTTTTGCATAACATCTGTAGACAAATTAGTAATTGCTAAGATTTTAACATTTTCCCAATACTCTGTAATTTTCTTAAAAAATACTATCCGTTAAATAAATCGTCATGTATTCGCGAACCCTCTATATTTTACATTATGTGAATGATTCGATTAGCTCGAGAACAAAAAGTCCCAAATAGTAACAAAAATATCATTTTTAATTCATTTCCAAACATGAAAATCGATTATTACTAATGACATCAGAATAAGATTCCAAATATTATGTCATTTATTTTTACTGTATCTTTTAATATATGTTTTTTTTTGCATGATATTGTAGGAACATAATTATCTAAATGTAGGTCTGATAATTTAAAGTTATAACCGTTAAGATATATGAGATTTGCACAATTTAATGGACAAAAATCAATATTTCAATATCTCTGCCCTTATATTTCTTTCCATTGACTTTGAACACCTGAAAACGAAAAATTTAATACATTCTGGGCGGATGTAATGTTTAAGTTGCGCGAACGTAATTTATTTTTACTTTATCTTTTATAATATTTTTTCATAATATATTTTCATTCGTTTGGTCGTATTTGTGGCTAATTATTATTATCAATCTTTGAAAATTGTTTCAATTGTTACAGTACTTAAATAGAAAATAATTGAAGAATTTAATACTGAAAAATATTATGCATACTTCTCCTGGAGTCTTCAATATAAAAAGCTCTGAAAAAATATTATATTTGTTGTTTACACCAAAGTTTTAGCCGATTGTTATATTTATTTATAAACATAACAACTTTTATTACACAAATAGGTTAAATTTTATTGTACTATTTTTTTATACTTTGTTATAATAATTATAATTTCTGTACTAAGTTTTTTTTATGTACAATAATGTTATGTTTATTGAGAAACATAGTTCTTTGGGACATTGTAATTCCATCAATATTTTTCTCATAATAGTGATAATGTAATTTGTTCTCAATATTTAACGAACGGTATATGAAGAAAACATAAATATATGTCTGCGTAATTCATAATTCACTTACAATTTGAGGGATTCACATAAATGATGACAACCTTTATTACTGAATGAATTGATGAACTCAATGCCAATACTCAATGGAACTAAACACATGCATACAAATTAATAATACGCTTATTCAATACAAGTTAGTTTATAATAGTAATACGATAGACAATACATGCTGAGTTACATAATTCGTATTCAAATTATCATACGTATGAACTCCATTCGCACAAACATACAAGATGTTTATGCGAACATATTATAACCTTGCATTTTCATATAGATATTTAAACTTCTCAATATTTCTATTACGGAAGTCAAATGATTGGGTTGCTGCATAATTTTAAACAGTATTTATTATGAATAAATAAACATAAAAAATCTATAATAACATTATTAAATGATGATTCCGGACCGTTGTTACTATCTACTTCAATAATATTTCTAATAAAAAAGTAAACAATACAACAATTTTTATTTTAAAAAACACCGGATACGCCTGATAGTTATGCACCAACTCAATATAAAATAAATCATCCCTACAGAGCCACTGAATATGACTGACATCATTATATATTAATAAAATTGTACTTACAATCGAACGTACATAACAATAGGAATTTTAATGCTATTATTAAAGTTTTATAAATTATTTACCTTCATTAAATAATACAAATCATGTTTGTGGATGAGCTGCAACCGTGTAAAGTTAATAATAGAGCATGAAATTTGCTCAATAAGCTCGCAAATGCATGCTTCTAGCGACTACATTCAATTAAAGTTTAAAAACGACAGAAACGCATGATATAATTTTTTTTAAATCCGCTAATTGGCTCCATTTGATATGTTTTTATATTTTACGTCGTTTCAGGTCTGCATCGTACAGAAGAAAGATTCAAAGCAAATGTTTGCGATGAAATACATGAACAAGAATCAGTGCATCGAACGAGATGCACTGAAGAACGTTCTGCGAGAAGTGGAGATCCTCACCCGTCTCGAGCATCCCTTTCTCGTCAATATATGGTTCTCCTTCCAAGGTTTGTACAGATGTTCACTCTAATATTCTATTCAAGATACGCAAGCTATTTACAACCACTTTTCAACGTCGCTTTTATTTTGTAGTCGACAGACTTGCATGTTACAATTTGTAGTAAGTGTGTCAAGTCTAAAGTAAAACTTTATTGAGTAAAATTATTATGCCTTTCAGATGAAGAAGATCTCTTCATGGTGACAGATTTATTACTCGGCGGTGATTTGAGATACCACATTGGACAGGAGGTGCACTTTTCAGGAGACGCAGTCAAACTCACAATTTGTGAGTTAGCTTCCGCTTTAGACTACTTGAAAACCAAGCACATCATACACAGGTAACGTATAAGCGGCTTAAGAGCTTTAAACCTTAATAAAATGGAATAGTACTGATCCTTTACATTTTACAACTCGCAGCTTATACATTCCCAGCACTTGACGAATGTTTAAAGTGTTGAGAATCCATAGAAATTACAATTTACTGAATCTAATGCTATACAACAATACCGGATCAAACATATAGAAAACAATGTATTTTAAATGAACAATATTATACAATTATATTTACACATCGCTATAAATGTGATAAGGATTTTTATCTGTGAACAATAATTAATTATAGAGTTTGTTCTGATAACCAAATCCGGTAATAAAGACCGCAACGTTATGTAAATTAACTTTGATTAGTTATTTATATTACCATATGGTCCAAAATATTCACTACAGTTTTTAGATGTAAATATACTATATAATACATTTTAATTTGTGCACTATCATGCAATTCATTAGTCTATATTATGTACATTTATTAATATTTTTTACCTTGTGAATTAGGATATATAATATTTAGCAAATAAACATTGCTGCTGTCTTTTTACTAACTTAAGTTTAGCTTGTATTTAAAACTTATAGTATAAAAGCAGGATAGTCCAGAAATAATAGAATAAATATTTGTTAAAAATAATAATAAAAAACTTGAATAAACAAATATCGAAATTGAATTTCTTATGCTAGTATTGTAACTAGCAAAGGGTGTCCCAAAATTAACGCAATATTTGAATTAAATAGAATACACAGTTTATAATTTAATAAAAAAAACTGAAGACTAAAAAGTGTGTTTTCTATTTAATTCAAATCTTGCGTTAATTTTGAGACACCCTTTACTTGTTGGTATTAAAGAAACATTAAAAATCAAATATTAAACATTCAGCTAATTGCAATCTACTAAAAGTAAAATTAGATAAAAAAGGGGGATACAAATTTTGTTATTAAAAGAATATTTTTTTTATCTTTTATTCAAAAGCATTGCGGTGCATAGTAAAATACATAAATATGTTTGGGCTTTCAATTTCCTATTTTGTATGTTGTTAAGTAAAAAAATTGTTTTAAAACGAGAAATAAAATTTAAACAAAATTGCATATGATATAACCATTTCATCTTATGATAGAGGAAACAGAAGATTCTCCGGCAAGAGTTTTAACAATATTTTACTAGCAAAGATGAATTGAATTGTCTTCATACAAACAATAAAAAATAGAAAATTGTATAATTGAGAAGTTGAATAATTAATTATAATTTTAGTTTTAAATGGCTTCTCAATTCAATTTTAATTACAAATACTTTCCTAATAAAAATATATGATTTGGTAAATTTGCATTAGCGTAAATTGCATGTATTTACTAGAAACTAAGCAAATAATTAATTATTATAAATCAACGAATTAATGATTATTACAGAACATTTAATATCATTTTAGAACAAATATAATAGGCGCAAACAAATATACTAATTATATATTTTTAATTGTAAACATATACAGAAAGTAAACGTACAATAATAATAAATATAATTTATAGTATATATACACATACATAAAAAATATAATAATTACACAATACAGGAAGCATAGAAAGGAAAAGTAAAAAAGACCATTGTAGAGCCTGACGTAATTCAAAAATAGTAAATACCGGATTAACTCTGTGTATAATTTAATACAAATCAGGTTGAAACAAATGTGCATCTTTGTTTAATCTAAAGCAGAGGCGTCCAAACTTTTTGCTGCGAGGGCCAGTTTGGTATTTAAATTCATTAGCGGGGGCCAAGCATTGTAAATATGTGAATTAAAAAACCTTATTACAAGTAAAGCAGCATTGAATTTTTATAACAATACTAAACAAACATGTCTAAATTATATTATTATAAAATTATTTCATGCAATTTTTAATGGGCGCGAGATCTAATGCCGACGCGCGACGCTACATTTATATTTTACGAAATTTTTCAAAATACTTGGCGGGCCGGATAAAATCGCCTGCCGGGCCGGGTTTGGCCCGCGGGCCGTAGTTTGGACACCTCTGATCTAAAGCATAAGTAATATAATATATTAAATAATGAGATTCTAACAAAAAATCTAATGCTATTAATAAAACATGTTTTTATTTGTTGTATAAATTAGTGCTTCCATTAAAAATTAATTATGTTAACTACACTTTTACAAGGTAATTAATTTCAATTTTAATAATTATATTTAAAGTACAAGTTAAATATAAAACAAAAAACATTACATTCCCACGCGCTTATTTTAAATTGCAGCCCTTCTACAATAAAAAACACATTAATCCTCGTAGTTACCATTTCTTTATATTTATAATTGTTCTTCTCTGTTTATTTATATAATTATAAGATTACCAATCACCTTTATGGTCGATGGAATTTTGAAAAGGGTCTATAGAATTTTTGTTGTCGGTGAAAAAAATATACGTTATTTAATTTTATTAGTTATAATTATAGTTTTAATACATAAATTAGGTGAAATAATTTTAAAAATATATCAATTTTTGATACAAAAATTTGGTAAATGTATACAGTAAAACCTGTAAATGAATTGGTTCAAAATCGACTAAAAGAATTGTTTGATCTGTACATATGCACACGGATAGAAAACATTACAATGGTGCCAACGTTTCATATACCGCATAAAAAATATCACAAAACAATACCACAAAACAAATCGCACAAAAATAAGATCGCATAAAAAAGGACAACACAAAAACAATTTCTACGTATGTCCCGTCCCGCCTTGGATTACAAAACATACAATTGAAAGACATACAGCCGATATTAATTTCTCCTTGCATTTGAAATCTAAAATTTTCAAACATTTGAACTATGCCAAATTTTGGAATCGCAAGGACATGTATAGAAAGTTATTCTCACACTTTTAACGTTGAAAATCAAGCAGTATATTATTTTAAAATGTTTTTACTCAAATGTGGAGAGAAGTTTACATTTTGAAATAAACAGATTTGATAAATTACTTTCAGCTATGCACACAAACTCAATTTATCAAAGTTGCACGTACTTTTTTTCACTTTTTCTAAACCTGTCTGTCTGACTATGTATATCAATCAATGCATTTAAGTAGAAGTACCCAATGTACGGTTTTAACGACCTATTGGCATCCATCCATCCCTGAATCGACATTTTATACTTTATTATCCACTTCACTTTCATGCATACAATATTATATAATAGATTCGCTTGAAAATCGTATACTTTATTTTTCGCATTTTCATAACACCATGCAGTCTCGACGGAAACTTGACTTTACTTTATAAGAAATGAATATAAAAGCTGTTCAGAGGTTTAATTTACATACTTATATATTGAACTCTTTTATAAAAAAAAATGTGATTCTATACTTTTTTTGTACCAAAAGTATAAAATGAGTATACATAAATAACGATTTCTTTCACGTTGTTCTAACTTCACCTCTGATTAAGAGTAAAAAGTAACTTGAAAACATAAAATGTATTTAGAAAAAAATTTCAATTATGTAGAATATATAATTGTAGTTTCAATTATATGAAATTCAATTATTAAAAATTAGTAAATAATAAACTGAAATGTATATTCCATTTAGTTTTTATATACGAATATTTGGGACAGAAATATAATCGAATTAAACCATTGATTTAAAGAAAAACTAATTTTCTTTTATCAAAAGATAAGGTGATATTATTTATTTTTATATGTTCTAAACTTTTTTAATACTGCAAACCTCGTATAGTGCAGCTTGGGTCAGTTCAGTGCAATAGTACGGTTTGAAAATTTCAAATAATGGTTTTAAGTACCCCATTAGTCCAGATTCAACATAGTCTTCTTCAAAAGTGATACATTCTCTAACATTTCGATACCTTTCTTGTAGAACGATTTACCTTTGGCCTCAAAATACGGCTTTCGTCCAATCGGCTGTCCACTCAGCTGACGACCGATTTGACACTTGAGTGTATTGGTGGATCCAGGTTTCATCCATTGTTACATACCGAATGAAAAAATACTTTTTATTTCGGTTGAACAGCACCAAACAGCGCCCGGAATCATCAATTCAGTCCATGTTCAGAATTTTGAACATAGCTTTCTCATGATAAAATGTTCATAGAAAGTGGTGAATACATTGCCTTCTAACATCTTCAGGGTGTCAACTATATCACGCAACTTCAATTTACGAACTAAATGTCAGATTGACAGTCATCGTCTGAAGGTTGGTACATCCTAAAAATCATATAGCGTAGAGGCGCTATCTATATGTCATTCTACGAACTTATTGAGTGAGGTGTTATATATATTAATATCTTAATATTGCATTTCATGTGAAAGCCCATATTAAGTAATTAAATTGAATTTAAAAAAATCTCATATTTATTTACAAAGAACTTTACAAAACGTATAATAAATTTTTGTGATTATAATTGATGAATAATACAATGCACACACATTCTTAATTATTAAAATTATCAATTCTTTATAATTTTCTCTACGATTTTTTAGATATATCTTAAAGAAAAACTTTATTATTGAAATAAACATCTGAAGAAAATCAAATCAGGAAACGAAAATAGACTGGCAACGCTAGTTACTATCCAGCAGATTGCTGTCTCCGGGATTCGAATTCACTGGCAAATACATTTTCGCACTTCGCATTGCACATGAATCGAATTATGTAAATAATTCGCTCGGCGCCTCGGCACTTCGCAATTTTCCTCGATAATTCCCGCCTAACAAATGCGGAGCGGACGGAAATCCAGCGGAGATCCACCCGTGTACAAAAACGTATTTGCGCTTGTACTCTTTCTTTCTCTATTTTTTGTTCAGACACGCCTCCTTTATTTTTACTTTTTATATATTTTTCATGTCGCTATCCATTATTCATGTTTTCAACGTCGTCGGAACCGAAGCAAAAATTTATCGCGTAAATATATTATTTATCTTCTGACACGTTTTTCTATATATTATCGCGAGGCGAATCGCATGGAAATGAGGCGCGAACATCATCAT